CTATCTCATATATTCCCTGTCGAAGAAGCCTGACCAAGAGCCGAACGACGAAAGTGCCGATTCTCTGATTGATATTCAATAATGACACCCAGCAATATGAAACTATTTCATTGGTAGAAGAGGGAGAATTTCAACTACTAGAAACTGAGCCAAAAGAACTGACTGACAATGATATTGATGATATTAATATGTGGGTCTACTTAAAAGACAAATTTAATATCTCTAATGAAGCTTGGCGTGAGTTGGCCATAAAGTGTAAAGACATGCCCACAAAATATAAGATATGTAAACATCTAGATAAGCTAAATTCCAATTGGAATCTTAAAAAAACACCAGGGGAGGCAGAGGGAATACAGATTTCTTTCAGGGATAGTCTTGAAGAACAGATACAAAGGCTGCAGAAAAATGGAGTATTGGATGAGGCTACTACTATTAAAGTAAAGATCAGTGGTGATGGTACCAACATTGGGAAGAGGCTTAAACTTGAAAATGTAACATACACAAATTTGAATAAAAAGGATGCAGCAATGAATGAAAAAGGGAACTATGTTCTAGCAATAATTAAGACAACAGAGAACTATGACAATCTTAAAGAAAGCCTTGCTGATCTAAACAGTGAAATGTCTAATTTAAAAGAAATAACTGTAAATAATCCTAAGTATAGCATTGAGTATTTTTTAGGAGACTGGACGTTTCTAGCCTGTGTCTGTGGTCTAGGAGCTGCAAATCAAAATTTTGCCTGTATTTGGTGTAAGTGCCCAAGACATGAAATGTTTGACATCAGTAAAAAGTGGTCTTTAACTGACAAATCTCTGGGGGACAAGAGATTCACAAGAAATAGGTAAGCATGCAAAATCTAAACAATATAATTGTAAAACCAATCCATTATTTAATTTTATTCCTATTGACCATGTAATAATTGACACACTACATTTGTTTTTGAGAATATCTGATAATTTAATTGAACTTCTTATCAGGGAACTTCGCAGAAAAGATGGGATTGACAAGGTATATACTTTTTCAAATGCTTTTTGTTGAAATAAGTATAAACACATAGCTGGGTACGAAAAATTTGTAAAAGAGCTAGGAATTAATTTTGAATGGAAAATTGATAAGGATACCAAGAGGTTGGAGTACAGAGATCTTACTGGACCTGAAAAACTCTTGCTCTTTCAACACATAAATTTTCAGGCACTACTATCAGAAGGTCATGTTGCAGATAAGCTGCAAGCCCTATGGGGTAATTTCATAGATATTATTGGTGACCTCAAACTAGATTATACTACTGATGATGCTATCTCTATCCTTGAAGAAAAGGTAAAAAATGGTTTCAAAAATTTCTTGACCTTTACCAAGCAAAAGATGTGACACCTTATATGCATTCTTTGTATGCTCATGTGCCTGAATTTTTAAAGCTTTACCAAAATTTAGCATATTACACTCAGCAAGGTATGGAGAAATATAATGTATCAAAGGACTACTATAGATCAAACCATAGGGGGGTTTCTGCACTAAAGCAACTTTTCTTGAAAAAACACAGAATACAGCTTTTGGAAGCTGCTGGTTTGGAAAGAGTAAAGGAAAGCTACAACTGTGGACACTGTTCAACTTCTGGCCATACCATCAAAACATGTACTGCAAAATGCAACAAATGTGATGCTCCTACTTTCTGTGCACATCTTGTTAAAATAGGTGATAAATGGAAGCCAAGATGTGATTTAATCAATCAGTAATCATATAATATATCAATGTGCTAAAGGAGTGTATTACCCTATAACTGTTAGTAGATGTTGTGAAGAATAATTTTGCTATGCCTGTGAAATGTTTCTTGTATGCAGTATTCAAGTAGTCTTTTTCACTTTA